TATTTGTCTTTTTCTTGTAGAGGTGTTGTAATTTCCTATATATTTTAGAAATGAGTCCCTTGTCTGATATGTCATTGCAAAAGATTTTTTCCCGTTCTGTGGCTGAAGGTACATTTAAAGAAGGTATAAGGCGTGGCAGCATGCAATACCTCTCTGAACCTATGTGAGGGGGAAAAAAAGTCACATGGCAGTATGGCATACAAAAGAGAGTACCCAGAGGCACAATGTGTATTCAGACCATTGTTGTTGTTAAGTGCCATCCAGCCAGTTCTGACTCATAGTGACCATATATAGGGCTTCTGAAGCTGTGTATCTTTGTGAGAGCTGAGAGCCTCATCTTTTTTTTAGAAGTGACTGGGGAGCTCAAACTGCCGACCTTGTGGTTAGCAGTCTAGTGCTTATCCTACCACACCACCAGTGCTCCCATTCAGAACATTAGTTATGTAAATTTGGACAAGTGACAGAAGTCCTCTGGGACTCAGTTTCTTTATCAAAACGATGAAGTGGGCAATATGTGAGAACAGCTAATATTCTATGATTCTGTGGTTTGAGGGAGGCCCCACCCCAAAAACTCTCTCTGCAGGAAATCTCATCATTCAGGAATTAGTTCCTTAGTGCTTCTAAGAACTGTTCCCTCAAGCTACTATCCAAGGGGAGAATTTGGGAATGATGAAACATTCTGGGGATACCTTACGTATTGCGCAGAGAGGGCGGTTCTTGTTTTGCCACGGAGCAGCAGAAAGGTGGTGGTGGAAGTACCGGAGATAAACATGGTTGGTTTTATAATTTTGAGGACCACCTAGGCTTTCTCTTTTCTGGTACATGTGAATTAAATAACTGACCACAGTTCTCCTCTTGCCCTGGCTGCAAGGAAGCTCAGAGCAAATTCATTTAGTGAAAAGCACTGTGTTGAACTTCACGGTTCACATATTTGTGTATTCTTTTTCCTCATCCTCATGTTTCTATTTACAGTTTATCATATATCTTTTTATTGCACATCAGCTCAAATCTTTTATGGGAATAGTTGGGAGGTATACAGACCAAAACACACTGCTGTAGAGTCGATTCCAACTCATAGCGGCCCCATAAGACAGAGGAGAGCTGCTCCACAGTTTCTGAGGCTGTTCATTTATGGAGGCAGACTCTCACTGGAATGGCTGGTGGGTTCAGACTGCCGACCTTTCAGTTAGAAGCCCTGTGTTTAACCCACAGTGCCACTAGGGTATAAATAAATAAACGTAAATACACATTTAAGATCGTTTCCTCTCACTGTGATGATGCAAACTGATATAGCAGATCTGAAAATACACTTCTACCTTAGTTACATATCTTTAAAAAATTAAATTTGGTTTGGGGGAAACAAGGATTGAATTTCGCATGATTTTGAAAATGAAAAAGAAAACACACAAATTACAACAATATTTGTACCGTTTTTATTTGTAAAAATAACCATCTGAATGCATTTCCATAGTTTATTACAGTTAAGTACGTCATTATGTTATTAGAGCATTCAGTAGTTGCAAAAGTATTAAACTGTGCTTGAGAAGATTCAAATTGGTTCAAAGTCATTCACTGAACTGAAAGTCATTTTCCTCATCTTTACAGTCATGACATTTACCGGTGTCATTCAACTTCAATTTACATAAGAAAACATTACAGACAAAATCCCACTGAAATCATCAAACAATATTTTATGCTATTACAAATATGTTATGCAAAATGTAACACTGGCACCAGATTTGCATCACCGTGCTTTGCAAAGATATATTGCACATGCTAAAGCCTGACATATGTAGACAAAACTACCAAACAAACAGTATTTGCATTGAAAGTTTAGATCACTGCATAAGAAACACATAGAATTACATTTTATACACATACTCAGATTGTCGCTATTTTCAAATGCTTTGCTCCTGTAACACTGATCTATGGTTTACAGTTTTGTAAGAAGAAAGCATTTCAGCACAGCAAAACCAAACATGTTTCCTATAGAAAACTTTAGCATATTCCTTTTCAATTCAAAGCAGGTGAAAGGGGAAAGAGGAAAAAAAAGATGCTTTATACATTCAAAGAACATTTGAAATAAAAACTCATGGGTATTATATTGCTCTCAGAACACTCAAATGAAAAAGAAACATTTCACAGAACGTTTTCAGAATATACAAATATAAAAAGGCACTCTAACTTCATATTACAAGACAAAAAATGCCAAGGATAAGCAAATCAAGTTGTTCAACAGTACTCAAAGAATAACTAGTGCAGCAAATCCATATGATGTTCTTGTTCAAATTTAATAACAAAACAATAAATCAAGCAGCTGCTTACTGCCAAAAGTACCAAAACATACCATGGTGCCCTTTTAGTAGTGATAAATAGAAATCCCCTGAGCTATTTGCTGTAGAATCATAGCAGATTTTAGGCAATGTGTAGATAATAATGCATTTACCAAAGCCACTGGCAAATAGGTACAATGAAACAAGATCCTGTGGCTGTGGTTACAATACAGGCTAAAAACAATGCGTAGGAAAAAAGCATTACACAGCTAAACCTCAATTAAAAACACAACGTTTTTCTGTTTGTTTTTTTTTTTTTCCCTTACAAAACTATGTTGCAAACATAATTTTATTTCAGAGACATACTTGAAAAACATAGAAATTATAGTTTTTAATTCATTTATTAAAATGAAAACCCAAAACTTGGTATTTAGGGGAAAAAGAAAGAAAGAGACAGAGAGAAATTCAATGAACAGCTCATTGGATGGATGATTTCATTTTGTTCCTTTGTCTTTCCTTCTGGTAAGCGAGTGGGGAACAGTAAAAATGCAGCTCTGTGGAGATAATGTCTCATGATCCGTCACTGCGTTGTGGCCACATTCCTTGATCTCTCTGGTCCTCTACAGAAAAATGTTAACACTACTTCACCATTAGAGCAGGCATTTCATTTCCTGCCTTCAATGCCAACTGAGCAAGATTTCCATTCACTTCTAGAAAAAGACACCGCAGTATATCATGCCTCTTCAACAATGGATCTTCCTGATTTTCAGGGAGTTGGTAAAGGTAAAGTCATTATTGCTCATAAGCAATTAAAAAACAAACAAACTCTAAAACAAACAAAAAGTACAGAAGGATGAGGAGACCACAACACCAACAGTTCAAAAAACCAAAGTTCTTTGAACAAGTTCTTATTTGTGAAAACCCAAGGTGGGTTTTAATTAAATTCAGGATATTATTAAAAGAGTAAGATTAAAGTCTTTTACAGTTAGATGAAAAATATAATACAGTATCTGTATTTGATCCAGATACACTAGAACACTGTTTTAGAAAATCTTTCACATACAATTACAAAATAGAAATTTCCATGTTAAAATGGAACTGGTTATAAAATATCAGCACATACTGCCCTAACACAACATGTTCCTCTCCGGTCTCTTCCTCAAGTGGAAAATAGCACTTGAGCTGGTGATTTTTATCTCTCCTCTCTGGACACGTGCCAGCACACTGACATAGTTTCCCATTAGGATAGTGGGACCATGTGAGATTTTCTTTTCCATGTATTTAGTATCTTTTTGGGGGGCCACTTTAGTACAGATATTCCTCTATGCACATGGGCTCCAAGGTCTTGTAAACTCTAAGCTAACTGAAGACTCGGGGTGAGCAGTGGACTGCAGATCTTGATCTTGTACCCCTTTCCAATTGACATGAAAGAACTTCAGGGTCAGCTGGAAACCTTAGCAGTGGACACGATGAGCTTGGCCCCAGGACTTCTGGCTAGCCCAGGGTTGTGTGTGGTTTTCTGTCTTTTTTGTTATTCCAATTAAGATAGATAGCAATTAAAACAGAGAACAAACAATGGATATGTTCCCTCAGCATTTCATTTCAAATAAATATAAACACATTTACATAAAAAGTCTATGAACATTTCTCTAGTTTGGCAAAAAAATAAACCGTGGTCAACACATAATCAGTTACAAATGCTCAACCATCAACTACAAATCTGTATCATAAGAAATATAAAATACAACAAGGACTGTTACACAAAAAGATTACATTTTAACCCCATAGAAAAGCTACTTCATTTCTCACTTCCATTTTGAAGGAAAAAAAATTTAAATCTTCAATTTTCAACTGATGCATTTTGGTCCTCAGGTATGGCTGGTTGATGAAATACATACATATATATATATATACATATACACATATATGTGTGTGTGTGCATGTGCATACATTGTAAAAAGTCTCATTCTTCTTTTTGTACAGCTGTTCCAAGTGCGGAACGGGGTCCGTTTGACCTAGAAGCTTTGGCAGAGGGAGCAGACACAGTATTCACTATGTTGATTTCATCATCAAACAATCGGCAATTGGCTTTCATTTCCTTATCACCCATTTCTATTTGTTTAAGTTTTCTTTTTTCCCTTTGCAGTCACACTTTCATTCCCTTGCCATGACCTTGACTGGGAATGTCATTCAACATGTTTTTTCCTATATGAAATATCTCATCATATATTTGAAGAAAAATGTTGATGGTTCTGACGTTTTCAAAATATCAGCAATTTTATTTAAAGATGAATTTATAAAAGGGAGTTCCATTTAGAAGTTGCATACTGTCTCAAAGTTGTGGTGTGATAGCATCTCATCTAAAATGCTATTAGATAAATTTGGATTCAGTCACTTGGATGAAATTAGCCACAAGTTTGTTATGGGAAACACTGGGTGCTATAAGTGTGTGTATGTGTGTGTTTGTGTGTTTTAAAGCAAGTTCAATTTTTAAATTCATCCTCAGAAAGGAGTTCTGGATATTTAAGTGCTTACTATAAAGGGGAAATAAATAGTGGGACTGCCTTTAAAAGTAATTACAGGCATTATTTTTTAAGATGAATGCCTTTACCTTTGGCTTCTAGTGAGGAAGTAAATATCAAAGTAAGGAGAGGTTTGAGACATTTCCTATCCACCCTTTCCTCTCTCTCCCCGCCACCCTAGGGGACACGAATGTCACATTGATATAATTCTGAGAACTCACTGCTGAGAACATGAAAACAAAATCTTTATAGAGAACAGCTCCCTCTCTGACACATTATCCCCAACAAAACAAGAATTAAGTCATTTTTTCCCCCTTATTTAAAATGAGAGGTAGACTTTCACAGAAGTACCTTAGATCTAAGGAAAACACGACAAAAGCCACATCAGGGCCCATCTGTGTGAATGCTCCCCCTACAGCATAGCTGTCCTCCCTTGGTTTGATTAATTCCTTCTTTATTGACTTCTGGAAGCGTGGGCCCCAAATCACATTTGAACAAAACATAATCTTGGAATTCAAGCTTCTTTCCCTTCCTTCAACATGGGTGATCAACGAAAAGCTGCTACAGTCCAAAGTCAAAACGTTTCCGAATCTGAATCGTTTTCATTGTACCCATCCTCTGAACCTACGTTGTTACTGCATAGGCTAACCATGCTACCCAAATTGGAGAGGGTTGTCCTGCTCAAATTGTCTTTTTTAAAACAAACGAAGTTGACAGCCGTCATTGTATTGGAAGGAGAAAAAGGCATCATGGTAGCCAAAATGAGGGCCAGACAGTCAGCCACGTCTTTGTTAGGAGCACAAGCCAGGGCCGGGGTATGACCTGGGCGTAAATGCAGACAAGGCAGTGGTTAGTACTGGGGCATCCAAAGGAGGCGTGAGCATTCCACAGTACATCTCGTATGATCTCACAAGCGGAGATGTATGTTGAGTTAAAATCATGCCAGGCAAAAGGAAAAGTTACTTTGTACAAGTCATGCTGGGAGTAAGGCTGGACAGGTGGAGGAGACATTTTAGGGAGGGTTTTCTTTTTCAGCTCACATGATTACAACAAGCATGGTATTATCTAAAGTTAGGCAGAATTCCAGCCTTCACCTGGTGAACAGAAACATTAGGGTGAGGGGGTTGGACACGATTCCACAAAAACAGCAACAGAGCAACTAGGAGGATGTTTCCACTTGAGAGCACACAACACCATGAGCCTCAGGCTTCAGCCAGAGTAGGACTCTCATTCTGAGAACAATGACTTTCAATTGTAGGTAATTGCATATCAGATTAGGAAAGATATTCAAAGTTTATTGTTGTTAAATGCATAGAGTCAGTTCCAACATACAGTGACCCTGTATAGGGTTCCCGAGGAGCAGCTGGTGGGTTTGAACCACCAACCCTGTGGTTGGCATCCAGTGCTTATCCAATAGCGCCACACCAAGTTGAGATATCTCTAAAAGTGACTGATGTACTTTTATTACTTTACATGTACTTTATATCGCCAGTGATTGTGAGTACGGGACGGTATCCCGCGCGCAGCTCACGGTTTGTTCTGTTGCTCATAAGGTTACCATAAGTTGGAATTGATTCACGGGCAGTATCTATCTCTATCTACACTTCAAGAAGTTCATGGAAAGATGGAATTAAAAGACAATGGAATTTTCCTACACATTTGTTCGAAGCCCTCTTGCATATACACCAATGAACTGGTTTTAGAAAAATGGAAACATCTGAGTAGATCAAACATAGTGAGGCACTGGTTGCTTGTGATTAGAAATTTACTCTTTTAAGAGAAATCTCAAAAAGAATTTAAAAAAAAAAATTCATATTACCAACAAAAGTCCCCAATCCCGAATTTAACAGATCTGGGGAAACAAATATGCTTGCCATGATTAGACTTGTCCATTCTTAACATTTCAACTTAATGGGTCCCACAATAAAACTGCCTCAATGTATCAATCAGCTATTGTGAGGCGGTGGATTGAGTCTTTGATTGAATTAGGACCCTTAGCTCACCTTTATTATTAGCCTTCTCTCGTACAGGGTCGCTATGGGTCGGAACCGACTCGATGGCACTTAACAACAACAACTCCCTATCAGTCCCTTGCTACTACAATGAGCCACTCACTCATCTGATTATTGAGAGGAAGTGGCTTAATAAAACTCAATATTTTATTTGTCATCATTTGACCTGATTATTTTCTTGCCCAGTAAACAGATTACTTCTCTCTCTGGTATGAAAATGAACAAGAAGAGACAGGTATCTGAACACTGCATTCACAAAAATCCATGAAGATGATAGGACTTACGATTCCAAATTCTATGCCAAACAGTCCTAAATTTTCCCAGACCTTTGAGACCAGTCATAGTATCACTGGCCAGGGCTTTAGATCCTAAGGCTGGGCAAACACAGATAAAGCAAATTTATATCTGAGAAGGGTAAAACTAAGTTATACTGGTCTCTGGTTATTTTGGAGAAATTGTGGGTCTCTGCATGCCAATCCCAAGATATATTACGATGATACGAGCATCAGGGAATGTGAGGTGGAAAACCAAGGAGATGGAGTAACAGAGGGCATTCTGCTCTTCCTAGATGAGCCAGGCTGGGGACAGGGCACATGCTAGGATAAACGGGACTGCAAAACCGAAACTAATAAAAGTTAGCTAATGATGTCAGTATGGCTGCTTACTTCTGAGAAATAGGGACGAGCTGCTAATTCCAATACCTGTAATAAGCAGTTAATTGAGTTATGTTAATATGCTTCATTATAATACTTCAATTAAATGCCACAATTAACGCCACATTTTAAAAAGTACTGAACTCATAAATATCCAGAAGTTCTTCTCTTGCTCCCCAAGGTTAATAGGCACTATGCTTGAAATGGTAGTTTAATACAATTCCAGTATTCATTAGCTATCACAATTTTTTTAGGTAGCTTCTGCTAAGAGTTAGTTCATTTAGAAAAGGCACATTATGTAGATGAGAAGCTTTCAAGCCTAGACATTAAGAAATTTTACTCATGTCCCCCAGACTTCCATACTAGAAAACTTGAGTTCTGATCTATTCATTAAAATAATCATCATAAGAGGTTTGATCTCAGAATGAACTGAAATAGAATCAAAGACCAAGGATTTTATTTGAGCCCTAGAGCATGCACTAATGATATGACAATCCCGAACTCTTCAGTGTATGCAGTTACAACTTTGAATGTCAAAGTTTTTTGGATTTGTTTTTAATCACGTTTTAAACATTTTAACTACTACACTGAGGAGTTAGAGACCAGCTGTTGACATCACATGCAAAATGGACAGCACCGGTGGGCTACAGGTGGTCTATGTGTTTTACAAACAGACAGACAGGACAAATTATCCCTGCTTGATTTCTCACACAACATGGAATTTCCAAAGGGGAGAATTCTTACTGTCTTTCAAACTAGCCCCTATTTTTCTTATTCTACTCTGGCTTCAGCCAGTGTATGGAAGGTGCCTATAGTAATTGGTTACTTTTTCCACTTACCATTTTCATCTACAGCAAGTACACAGGCCCCTTTGGCTAGCAACTCCTCAACTACCATCTTCAAGCCATTGCGCGCAGCAACGTGGAGAGGTCTACAAAACACGACACCAAGTGTCAATTGTGATACATATTTGTGTGTGAATGTGCCACTTTTGCTAACATACAGTATTAAAAGAAAAAAAGGGCTTAAGAATCTATAAGTAACACTCAAATCTTTTGGACTAAAGAAAAAAAAAAAATTGTGAACCAGACCTTTTCCAGGTGATAATGGTCCACCTGTTCTTCCAGATCTGACTCAGATTCCTCTGGAGCTTTTACAAATAATCTGCACCTCAACCTACCTCACTGACAACAGATATGAAGACAGTGGAAAAACTGAAGCTCAGGTGTGTTTTGTACATCCCATGGTTTCTACTAAGGCACTTGAATCATTGCTTCACACCATTCATCTGACTTGCATCAGTATCTCATAAATCATCTTAAAACTCTTTGTTATTATTAAATGCACACAGATGTTTTACCAAATTTATAAAACTTTAAAGAATAATGTCAAATTTCACATGTTCTGCTATATGTGGTTTTAAGAATCTTAAATTGAAAAAAACAAAACCAAAAAACCCCCAAAACCCATAATATTTCTTTGCCCTTAAAATAAATGCATAATTAATTTCTTAAAATGGAAAATGAAGCAGCTTTTAGGGTTTTCACACTGAGGGTTACACTGAATTATATTAAAATGTAATTACGACAAATAGCTTAGAAACTTTTCAAACCTATCCAGGGACCATGATTTAATAAGCAGGCATTTTCCAGTAAGAATATGAGGGGGCTTCAAAAAGTTTGTGGAAACATTCCATTATCTTTTCATTCCAGTTTTCCAGGAATTTCTTGAAGCTGTGTCATACATAATGCTAATACACTGACAGAAACAATTTCCCCATATATGCCAGCCCATAAAATTTTCTAACAGCCCACTATTTTTGTTATTAAATAACCACAGACTTTGCACAATTCTATGGAGGCATATCAAAACGAGGATTATGGCAGGAAATGGCTAGCTTGGTTCACATGCAGGTATGAATGGGAAGCCAGGCCTATGTCTTTCCCTACTGTACTCCCAAATACTAGCCTAGAGCATAGCAGTTGTTTGCTATTTGTTGAACAAATGACTGTGAATTTGGGTCTGTAACAGACTTTAGATATTGACACTTACGTCTGCAGTGCATTATTTTTTGCATTAATAAGGCTCTCGTCTTGTATCTTGTCAAGTATTAGCAAGGCACATTTTTCATGACCCTAATAAAGAATAAGAGTGATAAGACACAGATAAGTTCCTTAAAAAACTACTTCATTTTGCTCTAAATTGAAAATGAATTTCCTCTGCCTAAAAACATTCTATGAGGCTATTTTCCAAGTAACTTTTTTCTTCTAGAATGAAAATAGTTAAAGGGCCACAGAAACTCTATGATATTGATGAAGAGTTATGATTAAACTCTATTAGGCCTTGGTCTGATCTAAAAGATGAATATTTCTAAGATAATCTTTAGCATGAATGTCACTGAGAGCTGACACAGATGCTAGTTCAGCTATCCTCTGACCTACTCTTGAAACATACAAAAAGTCCCAGCTCCTTCCCCAAGCCTTCATTACCGTCTCAGTGACCCTGGAGCCTTACAATGCCCGTGGCACCTGTTCTCTGTAGCACTCAGCATCATTCACTGTCTTAGCTCATTAGAAAGCCTATTTCAGGAAAACTCCTTCTTTTCCTTCCCAACTAGCTTGACATCTTTTTATTGATAGACTTAAGATGGTTGACAATTTTTTAAAAAATCAATTGATAAAACTGAGCCTTTTCACAATTTCAAGCCTAATGCACTATTAAGGAATCACGGTTAAGTCCTTGCTCCTCAATGTGTGGTCCTTAGACCACCAGTACCAGAATCACCCTGGAACTTGTTAGGAATGCAGAATCCCAGGCCCTACCCCAGACTTACTACTGTGTGATTTTGTTATTGTTAAGTGTCATCAAGTCGATTCCGATTCATAGAGACCCTGTATAGGGTTTCTGAGGAGCAGCAGGTGAGCTTGAACTTCTGGACTTGCGGTTCAAACTGACCTTGCAGTCCAACCTGTTAACCCACAGCGCCACACCTGTAGAAGCTGCATTTTAACAAGATCCCTAGGTGATTCCTTTGCATCATAAAATTTGAAAACCATTGCACTTCTCAAATACTCACTAGAACCCTACACCTTGAAACAAACTCATGAAACTGAGCGCTTTTTGTAGTTTCCATGAATTTCTCAAAACATGAAGAGAGAAAAATGAATCGAGTGAAAAGCATGTCTGAGACTTTTCGTAACACTGATAGAATTTATTACTGTAACTATATTGAGCTAAGTCACTACCACTGGGTTAACTGGTATCCTATTCTACCCGGGTCGTGAGTATAATTGTAGCAATGTTTGTGTAAGTCTCCTTCTGACACACTGATGGGGGAGTATAAACTGTGGCTACCTTAAAAGGGGGCAATTTAGTCTTTAAGATATTCGTATCCTTAGACTCAATACTTTCATATTAGAGATTTATTTTTAAAGAATTATTAAGAATTATTTTAAAAATCTGTACAGTAAGTATTATTTATAGTAGATTATCGTTGGAAACAAGCTATATGTTTAACAATAGGGATGGGCAAATGCATGATAACACATGTCTAAAACAGAAAACCACACATCTACAACACCATAAAATTCCACCCCTTAAAGGAATATATCCATCGTATAACATTTTAGTAAATAAAGTATGATCTCATTTTTGTAATAGAAATAATTTGTTTTATGGAAGTAGAAACCTTGAGCTACATGTGAACACAACACTATAAAACAACAACAACACATTCTTTGCACTGAACTATGCACCATAGAAAGGCACATGGATATATATATATATATATATATATATATATGGAGCTCTGGTAGCGTAGTGGTTACAAATCGGGCTGCGAACCTTAAGGTCAGCGGTTCGAAACTACCAGCTGCTCCATGGGAGGAAGATGAGGCTTTCTGCTCCCGTAAAGATTTCTAGCCTCGGAAACCCTGTACAGGGTCACTATGAGTCGGAACCGACTCCATGGCACATAACAACAACAACTTTATATATATATATACTGTTGGAGTATATATATACTGTTGGAGTCCTGGTGTGGCGCTGTGGGTTGATGTGCTACACTGCAAAGTCAGTTTGAACCACAAGGTTGGCAGTTCAAGCTCACCAGCCACTCCACAGAAACCCTATACAGGGTCACTATGGGTCAGACCCAACTCAATGGCACTGTACAACAACAACATATATATAAAGTATATATACATATAGCTCAGGGTAGACGTTTTTGGGTTGTGTTATTAGAAGGTCTTAAATGGTACAGTTTATCTTTTAGAAGTCATATTACTAAGCTCCTAACCTATGTTTCAAACCAAAATAGTACAACCATGAAGACAGATATAGTGACAGTTAGAATACAACAAATATTTCATGAGGCAAATGTCATAAAAGGCACATCCTCATTAACCCTGGGTGGGTCTGACCTCTCCCAATTCCCCTTATAGTCGACAACATCTTGAGAAATATGTACTTTAATTTAGATCCATACTTCTGAAATAAACAGACTTTTAGAAGTACTATTATTATTATATCAAACAGCAATGTTTAAAATTCCTTTACATACTTTACTACTAGCCAAATGTAAGGGTGTATTCAAGTCTTTATCTTGTACAGTCAGGTCAGCCTGGGCACTGTTCACCAAAATATCTACAGGAAAAGCCAAAAGACGGTTACTTACACCAGATGTTAATCACATGCATTCTGAAGACATTACTACAAAAACATATTTATCTTAGTACAGCTTATAGAAATCATATTTCATTGGTCTGTTTTTCTTTTTAAAGGAGCAATTTATTGCCATATTTATTACATCCAAATACAGTTGAGGGCACTGACTTTGTCTTTACAGTTTTATTATGTCCAATTAAAATGATTCTTTGTTATATTTCGTTTCTAAATATTAAGAAATTTCACCGCAGAAAGGTTGGCTCATTTTTACAAAGGTGCACTAATAGTCAAGTAACAGGAAACTGAAGAAAATTGAGCAAATACAGTCAGGTGTCTTATGTAAAACTGTTAGTGGTCTTTTTTTTTTACATGTGTAAACTAAGAGAAAGGAGCTCTGGTAGCGTAGTGGTTACAAATCGGGCTGCAAACTGCAAGGTCAGCAGTTCAAAGCTACCAGCTGTTCTGTGGGAGAAAAATGAGGCTTTTTGCTCCCATAAAGATTTACAGCCTCAGAAACCCTATGCAGGGTCGCTATGAGTCAGAACTGACTCCACGGCACATAACAACAACAGTACTATGAGAAGGGGCCCTGGTGGTACAGTGGTTAAAGTACTTTGCTGCTAACTGGAAGGTCAGTGATGTGAATCCATTTCCTTGGCAAAAAGATGAAGCAGTTTGTTTTCATAAAGATTTATAGCCTAGGCAACCCCATTCTACTCTGTCCTAAACGGTCCCTAGGAGTCTGAATGAACCCAGTGGCAGTGGGGTTTTGATACAAGTGATCAGTGAATTCTGGATTTTATGTCGTTTTGATTTTGAGTGAGTATGAGTACAAAGTCCCCATGGCAAGTACCTACCCACAGCGCCTGCCTGCCCGTTCTCAGCAGCCGTCATAAGTGCTGTCTTCCCTGAATTGTCCGCTGCGTTCACTTGAGCATTGTGTCGCAAAAGAAGCTGCAAGCACTCCACATGGTCAGCGTAGGCTGCCGCATGAAGTGGTGTTCTAAAAATTGAAAACAGGATGATTTGGTTTCCTTAACTAGAACACACCTTCTTTGAGAAACATGGGCAGGGTGTTGTCCAAAGGATTTAGAATGGCTCAGTATCTAGGAACAATGATCAAAATCTCTCTGAAGGTTACACAGAGTGAACGCTGAGATATCCTGTGTGACTGGTACCCTGTAGATTCAGGGAGGTACGTGTGAGGGAGCTTCAAAAAGTTCATGGAAAAAAGGAATGAAAAGATAATGGAATTTTTCCATGAGCTCTTTGCAGCCTCCTCTTCTATGGTGACTCTGATCATGGATTTATCATAATTAAAAGCAGTTACTCTCCAGTTGATTCGTGTTCATTGTGACACCAGGGGTGTCTGAGTAGAGCTGGGCTCCACAGGATTTCCAGAAGCTGATTTTCGAGAAGTAGACTAGCCCTTTTTCCCAAGGTCCCTCTGTGTAAGCCTGAACCTCCAACCTCTTGGTTAAGAAGTGACTGTGCTAATTGTGTGCATCACTCAGGGACTCCTTACTATCTCTACTAATCCTTTAATCTTGCTTTTCCCAATTTTGAAAATATCTTCTAACAAAAGGTACCGAAGATGCAGTTAACAGTCAAGATCAATGGCTCAAACCTAACAGCTGCTTCTCTGAAACCCTATACGGTGTCACTATGAGTTGGAACTGACTGGAAGATACTTAACAACATAGCAGTTTCTTGGATTTCTTTTTCTACCCTACTTGTCACCTATTACACTGTTTCCTTTTCCTTTTATCTTCTACCATATTTACCTCCCTTAATATGCATACTTCAAACCCTTTCCTTCAGCAAGATAACCCTTTAATCTTGAGTTACCAGCGACTCCTTTCTTATCTTTGATACTTTTTATTAGAAGACAGTTTCAAAATTAAGCCTTTAATTTATAGATATTGGCTCTTTACATGTTAAGAAAACAAAAGGCTATGTCACCTAATGTAAACAGTAGATTTCTTTGAAAGGATAATTGCCATTCACTTGGAAACTCTCTATAGAGTCACTATGAGTTGGAACAGTCTTCACAGCGTACCACCAGCGCCATCAAAACTAAAAACTATTCACTTTTGATCAAGTATTTCTGGATCTCCTGGGTGATACAAACAATTAATGCACTCAGCTGTTAGTTAAGGGTTAGAGGTTCGAATTCACCTAGAAACACCTCAGAAGAAAGCTCTGGCAATCTACTTCAGACAAATCTGCCATTAAAAAACTATGGAGTACAGTTATACTCTGACATATGCAGGTTTCCATGAATCAGAACTGACTCAATGGCAACTGTTGTTGTTGGTGTTAAGGACTGTCGAGTTGGTTCTGCAGTACAGTGCTTATCCTACAGTGCCACACCAGGACCCCCAATGGGATGTGGGAATTTCTCTTCGAGGACTCTCTGTCTTCCAAGTATACTTGATCATGTGTACAGACACATGTACTAGAATGTTCATTGCACCATAATTTGTAATAGCAAAGTGCTGGGATCAACCTAAATGTTCTTCAGTAAAAAGCAGGCTGTGTAAATGACAGTATATCCATTCAATGAAATAATAATGCAATTTAAAAAAGAATGTGACAAATCTACATGTTTTGTCTAAGATACATTAAAGCAGAGCACTGACATAAGATGCTCCCAATTTTTATAAAAATACATATGCATATATACCAGGGTTCCAAAGAGTTGGTGGAAAATTTCCATTATTTTTAAATTCCATTTTACCACAAACTTTTTGAAGCCCCCTTATACTTCTATATGTCTGTAGAGATGTCTAGGAATTATTTGGGTGAATAAGACAATCTAGAAAAAAGTTTCCAGTGGTAACATCTAGGGAAGAAGCTAGTGTTTCTGGACTAATGGGGAAATTGCCTTTAATTTTATGTCCTTCGTAATATTTAATTTTTAAAAGCCATACTTACATATTACTTTTTCAATGAAAAAAAAAAAAAATTCAGATGTTTTTCTGCAACCACAAAGCAGAGGCTAAGAATGATCAAGACAGAGGCATTAACATCTTCGGATCATTTACCTTCCTTTGTCGTCTCTACAGCTGACAATGCTGGAATCTATGGCCCCAAGTAACAGAGATGCACAGCTCTCATGATCATTTATTCTAAAATGAAAATGGATTTTAAATGTAAAATCTCACTCTCGTTAAAAATTTATATAGCCCCTCCTGTCCCATCTTTCTATGCTCTGTATATATAACAATCTGATGCATTTTTAAAATCTGCTGCATAATATCTGTGCTCTATTTATTGAATGGCAAACATTCTGCAACCCCTAGCACTTCTTTAGAAATCCAGGAAGGACTTGATTGCATACCATATATCTAAGGCACCATGTTAGGGCTTTGGGGAGTATGACATACAGGGTTCCTTCAGATTTAAAATCACACCAAACAACAACAATCTTTATAACTTTTTGATCCACTTTATGCCTCTAATACCTTTCCAATAGAATGGCCCAGAGTAAGGTGAAGCCTGGACTGAGTGGGTCTTATTTCCTAGAATGACCATGGACCCTGGATGAGCTTGAGCCTCAGGCTGACCATAGGCCACTGGTGTCCTTGCTCCCCAGGGTGATGGTGAAAGTTTGGCATAAAATCACTGGACACTATAAACTATAGCAGTGACTTCACCTGGGATAGTTTCAGCACAGAGCATGCTGAATAATGGTTCATATTATGAGACTGGAACAAAATTTACATGTACCAAATAAGACTTATGAAGTATGAAGAATCACAATACGTGAAATGTCTTCCTGGTATAAAAATGTCATTCAAATCATCGTTAAGCACATTGTTCTTAACCTGACTTGTTTTTAGGATCTGACAGACAAATGTAAGGTACATCTGAACAAGAGCTCTTCACATCTGTGTCACAATTCATTCAGTGCAGCCCTGAACGGTGGCATTTCACCAGAAGCTCGTGGAGAATCATTAACATTAGGGACCACACTTGACTATCAGAGCTACTTGTCTTCAGCAGGAAAATGGAATATATTGGCCTTATCTGTAATCAAAATGCTTTTTCCTTCCCTAAACGGCAATATCTCCATGTGCAGTTCCAAGAAATAGAGCAGCATCAATAAACCTTGCCATCTCTACTCACATGGCGCAGTGCAGTGGAGTAAAGGGATTACCAACGAACTTGCGAAAACATTTTTGCTCCAAAAGTACCTCCAGACAATTTTCATTACCTGTAAAGAATCAAAAAAATTAAGGGAGTTTCTAAGAAAGAAACTTGGTTCATTCCAACCAGCTTTTTTTCATTAAGTACTGCATTCTGCTATATGACTGTTCCAGAATTGGCAGATTGTTCATTCTCCATTGGCTAAAAGTCATAAAATGCCAAAATGTTCTTAACAAGGCTCACAGGTGTTCTGAGATATGATGAATACACAAAACAGTGAAGGCCATATGTTCTGGTGAAAGAGAGAGAGAGAGACAGAGAGAGACAGAGAGAGAGAGACAGAGAGAGAAAGAGACTTCATTGGCAAGCAGCATAATTCTTTGTTACTTTCAGCTCTTAGTAGATAAAAATGCCTAACATAGGCATGCCTTGTTGTTGTTGATGCTTAGTGCTGTCAAGTTGGTTCCAACTCATAGCAACCCTGTATAGGATTTCCAAGGAGTGACTGGTGGGTTTGAACCACCACCTTCAATCAAATTGACCTTGCAATCTAGTACTTATCATACAGCACCTGGCAGTTTTCCTTTATATGCACTAGGAAATTTACTTTGCACTCTATACAGATAGGTTTACTTATAATTATGTAGTGGTTACGAGTCAGGCTGCTAACCTCAAGGTCAGCAGTTTCAAACTACCAGCTATTCTGTGAGAGAAAGATGAGGCTTTCTGCTCCCGTCAAGATTTGCAGCCTCAGAAACCCTATATAGGGTCACTATGAGTCGGAACTGACTCCACGGCATACTACCACCACCAGTATAGAGGAGGAGCCCTGGTGGCACAATGGTTAAGGGCTTGTCTGCTAACTGAATGTCAGTGGTTCAAACCCAACAGTTGTTCCATGGGAGAAAGACATGGCAGCAGTTTCTATAAAGATTTGCAACCTTGGAATCCCTAGGGGGCAGTTCTCCTCTGTTCTCTAGGGTCATTATGTGTGAGAACCAACTTGACTTGGTTTGGTTTTTGGTGTTTTCTAGCATAGAGGGGAAGACAGAAAACAACATTTGAGATAATGCATGCGAAAAGGCTCTGATGATAAAATATTGCATAAATACTTTAAATGACCCAAGAACAGTGCCAGGCACGTCACAGACACCAAATAAATATTTTTGAATGAATGAAAACATGAATCAGAGGAATTATTTTCAATAAAATGACAGGTGGTTTCCAAATCAACCCAGTTTGAATTAACCAAAATCTCATCTCTGTCACTTTATTCATTACGTAATCTTGGGCAACTTTCTTGAGATCTCTGAGCCTTGGGTTCCCACACTAAAATGGAATTAGGGATCCCTGTTCTACCTTCCTTACAAAATAATGGGATCTTTGCTGGATAAAGGACCTGAATGAAGTTTATGAAATATACAGTTTTACAGCAGGAAGGCATTGCTATTTAACTTTGGATTGCAGGTTGTTGTCCTGGGACCTCTTTTTGGTTGAGCTCAGTGCTAAATTACTAAAAGTTTCCTTGTGATCTCTCTTAGACTGATGCTGATTGGAAATGTTAAATATTAAAATTCAAGCACTAAATAAGAAAAGGTGAAACTTCTCTTAGGAGGATTAAGAAGCATGTGAAGTAATGACTATAAACCATTCCTAATGTCAGGGAAGTTATATCGTTTTCAACTACCACTGTTCCTCACTCACATGGTCCCAGACACTTGAATCCCCATAGGACTTATCTTAGGGCAGCACCTACATGTACCATTCCTTGGGGGACTGTGTGAATCCCAACCTAAGGGCCTATGCAGGTAGGACTAGGGTCCCAAAGGGGATTCTAGGAGATGGGAGAGGACTACATTTCCTCCCTTGTGAGCAACTGGTTAGTTTTAAGAGCAGAGAGACACCTCCATCCCATCCCAGGTGACAAGAACGTCAACTGGCAGGTTTGCCACCTGTCGTTACAGTTAATACTGCATCTTTCCAATCCTGTAGGTTCTCCACTGCCAGAGAGTTGGATCAATATGTGGGGTTGGGAGCCCTAGGAGCAGCCCTGGTAGCATAGTGGTTACAAGTCAGGCTGCTAACCTCAAGGTCAGCAGTTCGAAACTACCAGCCATTTTTGCAGGAGAAAGATGAGGCTTTCTGCTTCCATAAAGATTTACATCCTCGGAAACTCTATACAAGGTCACTATGAGTCAGAACCTACTCCACAGCACACTACCACCACACATATATAGTCCAAACCAAACCAAACTCACTGCTGTCCAATTCAGACTCACAGTGACCCTATAGAACAGACTAGAATTGCTCCGTAGGGTTTCCAAGGCTGTAAATCTCTATGGAAGCAGACACCTCACCTTTCTCGTTCCACAAGTGGTTGGTGGTTTTGAATCACTGCCCTTTCGGTTAGCAGCCTGATGTTCAGTCCTTGTACTAACAGGGCTCCTCAGGCATGTGTGCATTATAGCTTATATATAAATGTAACACATGGGAGTCCTGGTGTGGTGCTGTGGGTTAATGTGCTGGACTGCAAAGTCGGTTTGAACTTCAAGGTCAGCAGTTCAAACTCACCAGTCGTTCTTCGGAAAACCTATACAGTGTTGCTATGGGTTGGAACAGACTCGACATTTAATAACAACAATAACATATATAATCATATGTAATATAATCTTATATGTTCCTTATATATAAAGAAGAACCTTGTATATAAGTAAGTTGTATTATTATAATTCCTTGTGGGATCCCTGTTTGTTTTTGTTTTTTTCATGTAACTCAGAAGCCAATATAAAAATTGCCTATTTCATTGAATTAGAAGTTTTGATTAAGTATTATGTTACTGAATAACCAAAACTGGGAAAATGAGTTTTTCCAGTTTTATAAAACAGGATAGCTATGAAGGAAAACTATTTTAGGAAAACTCGTCTTGGGTGTTGAAATCTTGCTTTGCAGCAATAGGCTATTTCCTCATGTCTGATCAGTATGATACCAATGTCGGTGGTACTATTTAGGGAAACCCAGTGGAATCAGTCAAATCACCAGCAACTCACCGTTGTAACAAGCCCAGTGCAGCGGTGTGTAGCCTTGATTATCTTTGAAGGAACAGTCCTCTTCGGAAAGTGCCATCTGAAGCAGCTCACTCAGCCACGTGGCGTGACCACGAGCAGCTGCGTAGTGCAGGGGCGTCCTCCCTCTGGAATCTTTACAGAGAATTGACACTTCTTGTTCCAGCAGCATTTGCACACATTCCTCGTGTCCCGTCATAATCTGATGTATAGCAATTAAAAACACAAAGTGGAACTCAAATGGGCAGAAGACTCTGAAATGAAGCCATCAGCTAATTGAGTCTGGGCTTACAGTAAGCAGATACAGGTCTGGGTTTAAGGCAAGCAGACTCTGCCCTACTTTCGAGAACACAGGCAGGATAATTCCAATAAGATTCATAAAAGGAATGACTGTGAAGGCTACCATTTTGGAAACATCTCTTGGCTCTCCAAACATAACCATGAAAAGTATCATGATATAAGCTGAAAATAGTGGCTTAAGAAACAAGTAGATGTGGACTAAATCCTGATTCCCCCCTTACAAATCTTACTGTTGTTGTTAAGTACTATTGAGTTGTTCTGACTTAACAGCGACCCTGTATAGGGTTTCTGAGGAGCTGCTGGTGAGTTTGAACCACCGACTTTGCAGTCCAGCACACATCTTGCAGCGCCACACCAGGACTCCTTATAAATCTTAGACCAGTCAATTCGCCTCTCTGTAACTCTCTTGATTCGCTGTAAACCTAAAACCAACTGCCAGTGAATGAATTCCAACACACTGTGACTCTGCATTGGGTTTGAGAGATTGTAAATCTTTATGAGAGTAAATAGCCTCATCTTTCTCCCAAGCAGTGTGTGGTGGGGTGAACTGTCAATCTTGTGGCTAACAACCCAAAGTCTACCCCACACTGTAAACTGTTATAGTAATAATGACCTCACTTCTTGTTGGCATAAAACCTCCCAGCTGTGGTACTGCCCACAGGAAATGCCAAGAAATGCTTTGGACATTGAGCACTTAAGAGTTCCTCTCTGTTTCAATCGTCAGAATGTTTAGCACCATTGTAAAAATAGTTATTTTATGATTTCTGCTCTTGTTTCATTTAGTTGGTTTGACATGCTTCAAAAAGAAGTTCAACAGATGTGTGCAAAGAATTATTCACTAGGATATTTATTTCAGTAATATTTGTAAGAAAGGACAAATAAAAAACAACAACTGCATGACTATTCAAAACTGAGATTAAGTGCCACTGAGTCGATTCCAACTCATAGCAACCCTGTACAGGGTTTCTGAGGAATAGTTAGTGGATCAAACCAGCCTTGCAATCAAGTGTTTATCCTACAGCACTGCATTCAAGACTAGGAAACAAATAAATTACAACACATACACACAATGGAGTCTTAAGAACAAAGGCACAGAAAAATATTCAGTGACATGGAAAAAGTTTTCTCATAGACTAAGAAAAGCAGGTCCCAAAATAGTGTTTTCAGTATTCTCCTTTTTTTTTAATTAAAAAAAAAATTTACAACAGCAAAAAGATTAGAAATGTATTTGTCACCAAGTGGTTACCTCCAAGAGATAGAATTACTGGCTGCTGTGATTTTTATATTTTGAAATTTTTCTATGATGTAAATGCATTTTGTAATAAAAAAGCAGAAACAATTCTACCAATAGTAGGTGTTCATGTATCTATTATCCAAAGCTTACATGAAATCTTAAGGGCAGGACTTAAGAGTAGCTGCCATATTTTACCTTTGCAAAAGATGTTGTCTTTTTTTTTTTTTGTGGACAGAGGTTAATTGGTTATCATAGGAATCAATCTTTTTACTAAAAATTCATATGGGAACAAAAAGGTTGCAGCAGCAAGCTCATTGCAAAGCTACTTGACCAAAGCTCAGGGAGCTGTACATACCCCTCGGTGCAAGGCTGTGCATCCCGTGATGTCAACAGCATCTACCTTTGCTTCTTTTTCAAGTAACAATGAAACAGCATCGATATGGCCATATGCTACTGCAAGCATCAGTGGGGTTCTAAGTAGAGAGATAAATAAAGTTTTTAAAAAGGAAATTAAAAAAAACCACACAAAACAACAATTCATTAATTCCAATGTGAGGATTCTTTTTTCTTAACCTTGAAAACTTGCTTAATATTTTCTGAGTGTTTCCAATGTAGTACATGCTATGTGGAACAAGCTGTCTCTGGTCTCTAATGGCTATGCTGAAAGGTGGACCATTCAATAGGGTAGGGCAGGGGTAGGTTCACTGGAAAAGTGTTCATGTTAATCCTGTCATTTTCAGGACAATGGACCTAATAGCAATTGAGTGGGAAGCATGTGTGACAGAGACTCCTGCAGCTAGACTATCCTAATGCTGGACTTCTGTTAAGATTCAACTGAACCCAAACTGCATTGCTTTACTAACTCATACACATTACACCTGGGGTGAATCACTAGCACATTTTCTGCTCAGTGTTGTTTAATTTTTAAGAAATGATGAGGTGGCAAATAGGCCAATAGATGGAAAAACTTGCAGAAAAAAAAATCAAGCAAGGATAATAATATGAGGGATTTTTAAGAGGAAGGTAATCTATTGAAGTCTCTTCTATTGCCATTATTAATTTAAGAAATGGGAATGTAGCAGTTTCACAGAGAGTGACACAACTAAAAATAGGGAACAAAGAAGGGAATATAAAAGACAGCCAGGATACAAGGTCATAATCATAAAAGGAAATTCTTTTTAGTCAAGACATGCATATATCACATGTGAGCTTATATGAACACACATGTACACACTTTCTTGATATATTCTGGCACACAGCCACTTTGTAATTCCAGAGTCCTCACTCATGAATTTCCCCCAAATACAGACCCTCAGGAGTTCCTGGGTGATGCAAATGGTTATGCAAAACAGAAAGATTGGAAAGGTTGGCAATTTGAGTCCATCCGGAAAGAACTGACAATCTAATTCCAGAAAACCCTATGGAGCACAGTTCTCCTCTGACACACATGAGGTCTCCATGAGTCAGAATGGGGATGGTGGTGGCGGATCTGCCTTCAACCTGGAACACAGCGCCAGCCCTCCCAGCTGTTCAACACATTAGCCAATTACCCACTGCTTTTGAAATGCCAACCCAAGCCCAGATGTGAGAATACTTACTGTCCTTTGGCATCTTTCACATCAACCACTTCTGGGTTGTCTGTTGTTTCTAGTAATAACCGCAAACACAGTGTGTGACCATTAATTACTGAAAGAAAAAATAATGAACATTTTTTGAGAGACTAACATTATCTATCTCTCCAACACAAAATTTACTTGGACTTTAAATTGGTAGTTTTCATTTGTTGCTGACAGATACTCCTAAATTTCCAGTTGATGATAGCTTCTGGGCACAGCATGTTATTGTTGTGGTTAAGTGCCATCACGTCACCTCAGTTTGACCCTGTATAGGGTTTCTGAGGAGCGGCTAGTGAGTATTGAACCATCAATCTTGCAGTTCAAACCAACCTTGCAGTCCAGTGTATTATCCCACAGCGCTACCCCAGGACTCTGGGCACAGCATATTGGGATGTTTATATTACTAACCTTATGAACTTGACTGCAATATTGGTTTGAATGGCAAGGTTGGCAGTTCAAATCCATCAACTGTTCCTTGGAAACCTTACACAGTGTCGCTATGAGTCGGAACTGACTCAACGGCACTTAACAACCATCTTCCCCTTTCCTCCATTTAGGACACTTTGGTCTTTACCTTCCTTCCTGAACAGGAGGGGTTTTCTGAAACTGGTTCTTGACATCATTTGCATCTCTTTGTACAGGACTGATCAATGCTCCTGACTTTTCAGCTACTCTTTTTGTTCCTCTAAGAGAGTCACCAAATTCCATATAATCATCCTGTGTTAGCCCTGCTTCTAGCTTTTTTTTTTTTTTTTAAATAAGGAGGACGGAAGAGAGAAATAGAAGGAGGGGGAGAGGATGAGAGATGGGAAGGGCAGTAAGAATGAGAAAACAAAACAGTTTCTGCCTCTTTTTTGAGTCATTTACTGAACTACAATATTCCAGCAGTTCCAATTGATTAGCTTTAGAGCAAAACCTCAAGCTGGAAAGGTGTGTGTTATTCATCCTTTAGCCATGCTCTGCCAAACTCAGCCTGCTTGTTGATCCATTGGCTCTCTCCACAGACTCAGATGAAGCTTCTGCAACTAGAGGACTCCTGGGTCCCAGGGTTCCTTAAACCGCAGCCCATCAGGTCTTTGCCTTCCAGTGTCTCAAGCATCCTTCCAGTGGGACTCTTACTGCCTATCTTCTTCCCGCCTCTTCTCTGCTCTCCTCTCCACTGCCGTTTGTCCTCAGAACCCCTGCCCAGTGTGCTTCTTTAAGGAGGTGGCATGGGGCTGGGTAGCAAATGTCATACAATAATCCCTAGTGCAAGGTACTTTCCTCTAGCTTGTTGAATGGATCCAAAGATTTACCACAGACATGGTTTTCCACTCAGGGTGCCAGATGAGAACAAATGGCTTTAAAATTCCAAATGTGACCTTCTCTCCTCTCCCAACAGTGAGCACACCATAAAATGCATTGCGTTGACCTCGTGATGGGTGTACAGAGAGAAGGGAACAGATGCAGCTATGTTAGGCTGATAAAGGCCGTTCCAAAAGCCCTTTTTACAGTCCTTTTTATTGCCTGCCAGTCATGAGAGAATGCTAATTTAACAACGACACATTTTTTCAGGAGACAATACATGCTGGAATTCGCTCACATTCATGAACACCAGTCAAATTACCCAAGGGTCTAAAATCCACATTTTGTAGACCACTGCATTTAGCTCATTCTCAGAAACATTCTATTTATGTGTCTCAGAAGGACATTTTGCGAACAGGTAATGTGTTGTTGTTGCTGTTGTTTTTTTGTTTTTAAAATTACATTAAATCTGTTACTGCTGACGAAATATACAAGGAGCTTAATATGGGCCTCAAAGGACATGATGAGGAGAGAGCTGAGAGCTGCACATTACAGTTTTCATGAAGTGGAGGAACTGCTCATTTTGACTAGTTCCTCTTTCAGTATCAATTTGAGAGTCTTTAAATATGCATAATCATAATAATCCCAAGGAGATTTGTTTTTTGGCAAAACAGAAAAAGGAAAACTATCACCTAAGAGTATATCTTTCATCTAGACAGAGTGTTACTAGAAAGCAAATCAACTTCTAGTCTTTTTCTTTTTTTACAGTAGCTTTTACAATTTAACTAATGCCCCCTCCCCCCGGTAAATATTCATCACCTTATTGTAAAAGTGCAGCCACAGTAAAATTCTCCTGGACTTCCTACACACTCCCTCCCTCCACCCTTCAGTTTCCCGATAGCAAGAAAATGCTAACATCTCTTTTAGAATGATGGTCATTTTTCATGATATTCAAAGACCACTAATGTCACTGTAACTATATGTGCCAAAACCTCTAATATGCATCCTGGCTCCCACTGCTCACAGCACTCTCAGGATTTGAAACAAACAACAACAAAAAAATTGACTTCTCTAATTAGCTGAAAGAGAGTCCGGGTTATCAGATCTGTATAGCACAAGCTAAAGCTTCTGTATAGCAGACATTTTGTGGGGAACAGAGCCCAATGACAGCTTGTGTCTTTTGAATGAATGGCATAAGGAAATCCAAATGAAATGAGTCTTCTTGACCACTAGGGGGCTCCATTATATCACAGCCTACGAGACAGTGGCAAATGAGTGACAAGGATCATTCTTCATTGTTTACCTGTTTATGACCCAATTAGGTCTTCTGTATTGCCAGAAATTACTTGAACACTAAGCAGGAAGTTTGTCTTAATAATAAGTAATTAATCTTATGAAAAGGGAACTAAATTTAAACCTTATAATATAATACCAAGAAGGCTCAATGAGCAAGGAGAAGACTTAGGGAAAACGTTAGGTACCATTGAGGCGGTTCTGACTCACAGTGACTTCATGTACAACAGAAGGAAACACTGCCTGGTTCTACACCATTCTCACAATTGTTCCTATGTTTGAACCTAGTGTTGCTGTCATTGTGTCAAACCACCTCGTTGAAGGTCTACCTCTTTTTCACTGACTACCTTACCAAGCACAATATCCTTTTCTAGGCTTCTAAGAGTCCTGGTGTGGTGCAGTGGGTTAATGCACTGGACTGTGAGGTCGGCTTGAACCACTAGGGCAGCAGTTCAAGCTCACCATCCGCTCCTTGGAAACCCTATTCAGGGTTGCTATGGGTCAGAACTGACATGACGGCACTTAACAAGAAGCATTCTGGCTGTACTTCTGAAAAAACGGGTTCATTTTTCTGGCAGTTCATGATATATTTAACATTCTTTGTCAAAACATAATTTAAAGGAATCAATTCTTCTTCTGACTTCCTTCATAATTGCTCCCCCCATGTCTACATCTTTTCCAGTTACTATCCTTCCTAGGAGTCCTGGTGTGGCACTGTGCGCCAGACTGCACAGTCATTTGAACTGCAAGGTCAGTGGTTCAAGTGCAGCAGCTGCTCCTTGGAAACCCTATACAGGGTCGCTATGGGTCGGAATCGACTCAACGGCACTTAACAACAACAACATCCTTCCTAGGTCATCAGGCAGCAGCCAAGCTTCTTTTGTCTCCATATTGTTTATATTCAGTTGTACAGGATTTCCTCAGCATGTAGAGGGAAATATTTCTATAAGGTTAATCATCCAGGAAAATGCTTCTCAAGTACCAAGAATCATAAAGACTTAAAAAAACAACTATCTTTATTCTTTTGTTTTGTGAATAATGCATCATTTTACCATGTAAGACAATTATTTTATTTCTCCTTATAAGATGATTTCCTAAGCCTCATTATATTTATGTTAGCTGAGCTAGATACAGACTCTTCACATTACTTTCCTATCTGAGTAGTCCTGGGTGTTACAGCAGTTAATGGGCTTGACAATTAACTGAAAGGTTGCAGGTTCGAGTTCTATAGGTATCTCGGAATAAAGTCCTGGTGATCAACTTCCAAAAAATCAGTCCCTGAAAACCCTATGGAGCATAGTTCTAGTCTGATGTGGGATCACCAGAAGTTGGAATCAACTTGACAGCAACTAGCTTATGTATCTAGAAGTTTCTTGTCACAGTTTTATTTCACATGCAATGGAGAACAGTTCCAGAAAAGGTAAATGATTTACTGTTTGATATATAACAAAATACATTTTTTAAGAGTTGCTGTTTTTATACTTGATACATCAAAATCATAGCAAAATATCTCATGAACACCTTCAGATTGGCAGAGAGACACACTAATTGGATTGGTGTCTTATTACTGTTTTTATGAAACAGGCTTCGAGTATTTTTGTTATTGTTTTTCTTTAAAATGTTGTATAATTTTAATGTTTTGTTCTATATAACTTATTCTGAAGGTCACATTATACCCTGACTCTGAGTTCTGACTCTCTTTTGAGTTAGGTGATCGTATGAAGAAATCTGGAACCCATCTGGCCAGAGAACACTAATCATCTCCAATTGGCTAGCAGGCCAAAACTATTTTAGAAGCACGTAGATCTATCTAATGTGAAAAGCAAAGAGATGTTTAAAAACCGGGATGAAGGAAGACGCTGCTATCCCTTTTATTCAAACTTATAAGTGGGTCAAAGAATGAAGGTCACCAGAATCAGGGCCAAAACATTAACCAGACCCTTGACAAGACCTACCTGAGGCATGAAGTGGGGTTCTTTTGGTTACATTGTCTTTCACTAAGATGGATGCACCCTGGTTGAGAAGTGCTTCCACACATTCTGTGTGTCCCTTAAAGGCAGCCAGGTCCAGAGCAGTGCGGCCTTTCTCATCCCGCATGTCCAGGTCTACCAGGGACTGCAGAAGGACTTCCAGAGCTTGATGGTGCCCATTGTAGGCCTGCAAAGAAGACACTAACAACTTAAGTGTTCACTGGCCTCAGATCCCACAGCCATCCCTGTGACAGCCCAAGCCTTAGGTAGCAGACAGAGACCACTCTACACAGCAAACAAAAAAGAGGCTTTCGAGTCCCTTGGGATCATTTTTGAAACACAAGGCAAACCAGAGTTAGATTGAAAAATGAGATTTATATTTCACAGTTGCTTATGAATTTCTTCATGTTCTTTCTCTTATGCAAATAATTTGCTTCAATGGCACCAAATGTATTCATGGTGTGGTGATGTAGGATAAGCATTGGATTGCTAACTGCAAAGTTGGCGGTTCAAACCCACCAGCTACTCCTGGGAAACTCTATACAGTGTCATTATGAGTCACAACCGACTCAATGGTAAACAACAACCACACAACTTATTTATATCTACCAATGTAATGCACATGAACTGCTGATGAATTAATATATTCTTGAATTTATCTGTCCTAAACACATGGACGTAATTAGGTTTTTTCTTTTATTTTTCAGAAGACTTGTAAGCAAACCTGAAGGAATAAATTACCAAGAACATTGTGAACTTGGTTTTCAATAGTGGCTTACAGATCTGTTACATTCCAATATTTTGCTAACTTCTAACCATGTGACTTTGGCCAAGTTTCTTAATTTCACTTAAGAGTTTGTTTTCTCATCTGTAAAATGAGAGCAATAAAAGCTGCTTCCCAGGGGAATGCAGTGGTTAAAGTTAATTGAAGTAAATGCTATTCACTTGTTGGTGCAGGGAGGGGATGGCAACCATGTAATGAAGCAAAGTGTATGATTAGCTGAATGTAAAACTGATGATCTGCTCTGTAAACCTTCACTCAAATCACAAAAGTTAAAAAAAAAAAAAGAAAAAAAAAAAGCTGCTTCCCAGGATTGCTATGAAGAGATAAGATCACACATGCATAACAATATCTTATACACAGTTGATGCTTCTTTCTTGTTCTTTTTTTCCTTCTGCAGAAATAACTATTAGACTATAATCCATGTAGCAGCACCAAGGTAAGACCTACTATGGAGTTCTGGTAGCTGGTAGCATAGTAGATTACGAGCTGAGCTGCTAACCTCAAGGCCAGCAGTTCAAATCTACCAGCCACTCTTCGGAAGAAAGATGAAGTTTTCTGTTCCTCAAGATTCACTGCCTTGGAAACCCTATACAGGGTCACCATGAGTAGGGACTGACTCTATGGCACATGGCCACCAACTACCGTGGAGTCCTGGTGTGGCGCTATAGGATAAGCACTGAACTGCTAATCACAAGGTCAGAAGTGCAAACCCGCCAGCTGCCCCTATATAGAGTCACTATGAGTTGAACCAATTAGACAGCACTCGACAACATGAAAACAATAGTAGGTCTGTCCCTTGGGGTCTTCAGCCACCAAGTCCCCTATACTATTTTGCTTTTCTACTTGCAACTATTATTACTTTAGGCACGATTTACTTGGAAAAACATTTCTGGAAGGGATGTATCTGCTCAGAGGAAGAGAACCCTTTTGTGAATTCACACAGAGGTGATATAAGGCACCAGGGCAGGAAAACATCTCCACACATCCAGGTTTTAATTCACATGAAGGTGATGTAGTCCTCAATGCACTCCCAAGCTAGCATCATCTCCACTCTTTCTTTAACAGATACCAGCTGTTTTCCACTTCTCACTGCTCACCTACCACTGCCATCGTTTCTTGTCATGATTACAATAAATGCCTCCCTCTCTATCCTCCTCCCCCTATAATCTACTATTGATCTAGCTGACAGGTAAAGTTTCTTAAAACCCACAGCACCACACTGGGACTCCATATATTATATATAAAACATAAATATATAATATTACTTATAATAATGATTATTACTATTATTATTCAATAGGGCTAGCAGTAAAACATATATTTAAAAAATAACTATTTGTGGAGGGCCTTTTATGTGCTGCGTGCTGTTCTGAGAATTCTAGCATCTCATTTAATCCTTGTAGACAGTCTCATTTTACAGATGAAGAATCCAAAACAAGCCATGTTAATTAACTTGGCAAAGATCACTTAGCTAGTAAATGAGAAAATCAGGATTTGAAAATCAGAATTTGTCAACACTAAAATCCAGGCACTGTCTGACAATTTCCTGCTGTAATTCTATGTAACTTTTTTTTTTTTTTTAAGTTTTTATTGTGAATTGAGTGAAAGTTTACATGGGAGAGCATTGGTTTTGCACTCATCCTATTGTATTTTGTTTCATTACAATGATTACAAGCCCCTCCATGTACCATCAGTTAACAGTATTTCTTTCTCTCTATTCATTTTAGCTCCTTTTAAAAACAAAACAAAACAACAACAAAAAAACACTCAGGCATGTATAATAATTTACACCACCAAAGGGCACATTCTTCAAGTCTGCCTCCCGGCTGCTATCTCTTAGTCCCTCTCTTCCCATGTATCTAGAGTCCCCATCTCTGCCTTCATCTCTGGTATTGCTGCTTCTCTGGATAAGGTCTGGCATTCCGCTTCTGCTCTTCTCCCTTGATGGTCCTAGGGTCCTTTGTTTCTGTCCTGTAAGATTAATTACTCCCTTGTTTTTGTTACAAAACTACCTTTATAATTGTGACAGTCGCAATTAGTCATGGTAACAATTACTTACTATTGAATTATAAGAATCCTATCCCCATCTCTTTTAACCAGACCAATCTAGACAAGATGAAAACCACTCAGTAGGGATTCTTTCTTCCCCCACACACTATTAAACTAAACTCCCCCTGGAAACCTAGTAAGCCAATCACGTCGTGCCTTTATCGCCCCCTCATTTTAGGTAGCCAATGTCTAAGTTGCCTGTCCCTATCTATGCTGTGTACAGAGCGGTAGCATTGATACTTGGTGTGAAGACTCCTTCCCTCTCTGTTGGTATTTAGAGTTACTACCTCCATGAGTATAGGTCAAGTTCATCAAATTGTAGCAATTTACCCTCGTTTCCTTTATCAAAAATTATTTTGTTCTTTTTTATTTTTTTATCTTCCTCTAGTCAAGTTCTAGCCATCAAGGCTAGGTCAAATTGGTACTATCTACAAGTTTGGGTGCTCTTATGAATCTCCCCTCACTTCAGATCAGCTGGATGCTTCACTCTCAGCTCTAGCCCTCTGTGGCTATGTCCTTGTCCATAGGCTCAGGTGTCCCCAAGTCTCACCACACTTTGGACCAACCAGCGTTTCCTCTTCTCTGTCTTATCTCCAGGTCATTGGGAGTCTGGGGAACGTGGTTGAACTCAGCCCATTTCTTCATTGCTGCCTTTCCCCCTCTTCACTCACCAATGTGGTCATCAGCAAGCTTACATGCCTGCTCACGTGTTCCCTTTGAGTTTCAGTCTTAGAGGGCTATGTAAGTAACTTTCAAAGAAAATGATTTTTGTCTCTCTGCAAAGAGTTAAATAACAAATACTGAATCAGAAACTTGGACCCCATATATGGAGAGCTTTTAGTGTTGCTGTTGGGTGCTAACAGTTAATTCTTACTCAGTTATCTCATGTAATAGAGAAGGAAGCAGGTCGTTTTCCTGCAGAGCATCTAGGTGCTTGTGAACAAATAACATTTTGGATAGCAGTTGAGCGCTTAGCCATTGTGCCACCAAGGCTCAACATGGAGGTTTTTAAACTGGGTACTTTGTCCTGTAGGGTCGCTGTAAGTGACAACTGAGTCAACAGCACACCATGCTAACAATGAGGCAAGAGGTAAACTTCCAGCTCATTGCTCTTTTACTACATAAACAGCCTTGCCATTCTTGAGACAGGAAATGCATTCCTGTAAATCTAACTTTCTGATCTGTATGTGCTATGCAAAGTCTAACTACATAGATTAGTAACTCTTTATTGTTACCTAAGTGACTGCTATTTGAAAGGTTGGCGGCTTGAACCCACTAGCTGCTTGCTTCATGGGAAAAAGATTTGGCAGTCGCCTTCCGTAATGATTAACAGCCTTGGAAACCCTGTGGGACCATTCTACTGTCCTACAGAAGTCACTATGATTGGGAATTGACTTGACTTCAATGAGTTTGATTTTGGTTTTTGTTATTACCTAAATACTGCAGCAGTAGCTAAGTTTATTGATTAATTGCATTTAATTTTCACAACAGCCCATTGTTACGTTATTCCTATTGTACTAGTGAGGACCAAGAAGGGCAGAGATATTCCCTAGTCCAGCACAGCTACACAGCCTTAGGTGGTGGGGCTGGGAGTCAAGGCTCAGCAATTGTGGCCTTTGCATGAGTCCCTTTGGAAAGAGTGCAACCTAGCCCTAAGGTATACTTTACTTTTTATTAGTGTAAATTTCGAACATATGTAAAGAGGAAAAGACAGGATAATGAGTTCCCGTATACCCACCTCCCAGCTTCAGCCCTTATTGTCTCAGGCCATTCATCATTTTACACTTGGGAGCGCCCAGCTGCTGTGAAGGGTAACAGGAGCATCTACATCAAGGTGGGAATCAGTCTAATGCACTTTACTCGGGGCCTGAGTCTGTGGCCTCTATGAAAATGGACTTTGCATAATATTTCCTGGTGTGGTGCTGTAGGATCAGCACTGAATTGCTAACTACAAAGCTGGTAGTTTAAACCCATCAGCTGCTCCTTGGAAACCCTATACGGGTTTGCTATGAGTCAGCACACCTACCAATCCCCACTTTGAAAATTGTAATGGTAGTAAAGATATCAGCTTATGGAGAAATCCTGACCTCACACCAAAGGGCAATGAGCCCCTGTAGGAAGCAGCAGGTTCTAGTGGCTGCTTACAGAGGTTGGGTCCTTCAGCGCCAGTTACTATGATGGCAGGGCTAGTAAACATGTTCTTTTTCTGTCAATTTGAGGAAAATGGAATCAGCAACATATAACTGCTTACTGGTTTGTATATCCATGCATACATATACACAAAGCCCAATAATTACATAATTATATGTAATGAAGGGAAGACACCCAGGGGAAAGGAGAAATGTTCACTGGAA